AAGGAATGGATCACTTGATGATTACTTGTTCTGTTCATTCCCTGTGGGGCATGTGGCATTGGCCAGATCAGAAGACAGGATACTGGGCAAAATGGACTTTTGGTCTGACCCAGTATGGCCGTTTTTATGTTCTTATTTAATATGCCAAACCACTGTATCCGCCTGTAAGGTCATCAACATGAGGCACCACTTTTGAATCAAAGCACAGTAACTTCAACGCATTGCAGCCTATACTCTGGGCAGCATTGCAAGATGTGACAAAATTGAAAATCTGAAGTCTTCCTATCACACTTCAAAAGTCATTCTCACAATAACAGCAGCTGTACAGAAAAAAGCAAGAGCTGCTTCTCTTTGGATAATGTGGACACTAGCTAAAAAGAAAAAGTCTTTCCTGGATGCAGAGCTTGTGAAGTAGTGCACATCCGAAATGCTGGAAAAGCTTTTTGTCAGAGATAAAAACAAAGATAACATTGTGAAGCAAGTTCCCATCTGATTCCATGGCAGTGCAAAGATTGGAGGTAATTTACGAGGATTGTCTGTCAGCACTGTCTCCAGAGGTGTGCGATTAATACTCCTTTAAAAAAAACAAACATGTTAATTGCATATATTAACTGCAATTAATTAACAGCCCTAAGATAAAGCCAGAGACTTGTATTGCTAATTTCACAAAACCAAAGACTATGGTACACTGTGCATGCAGCTTCACAGGAAATACTGCAGTCCCTGTAATGTACTAAGCAGTCGACAACACAAACCACTTTCTACTATCTGTCTGTCTACTATTTATTAGACTGCTCATTTCCAGTGCAGCGACGGAGGCAGCAGGATCAATTGAGGAATGGTGGAGTTGGCAGGACTGCTCTTCTGGGCCTATGTGGGACCTGACCAGGGAGCAGCTGAGCTGAACCATGCAGCAGGGTGGTGCAAAGCTCCCCCCCACAGAATAAGAGTAGGGATGCTGCATGATTCTCAGGTTTGGACCAGCTGTTTAAAGAGCATCCATAAAAACTATTCTGACTCTTTTGTGCAACTAATCACATCCATATTAGACAGAAACAGAAACCCTTTATCCAAACTCGGTCCTGTTTCATGTTTGATTCTTTTAATGGAATATCTCCTCAGTGCCATAGAACATTCAGAGCGATACAGGAGGGAGCTACCTACAAGACCAGGGATGTACATGCCAAGCACTTTGCAGCTGACAGGAAAAGTTAGTTAGGTTCTGAACACTGCTGACAGATGAGGTGTGGCTTCAACGCAGAGCAGGGGCTGGTCTCTGGAAAAGGGTATCACTGAAATCATTGTGTTATAAATACTGACAAGATACACATAACCAAGGATTTCAACTGCTTTCAACGGAGGCTTCCTCTGAAGTCCAAAGTTTTCAACATTCATTCCTACCCCACATTCTCGGAGTTGAAGCCATTCACATTATGTGCAGTGCTGCTATTAATTTAGATGCAATATATAGGCCCAAAGATTTAAAGGTGTTAACATGACCCTGTCACTGTCCAACATTAAACAAGATTTGGGGTTTGGGTATACAGAGATGTTGGTTTGTTATTTGCATGGCAAACACACTAAAACTCATGCCAAAGTAGCTTAGGAATGTATTATCTAAAATACGGGGTGTGGGAGAGCTAAAACAAGTTATAAAGCTGTTTAAAACAGATAACACTGTTTAAAATTGGAATTAAAAGATTATATGAGACAAACTTAACTAACACCCATCTTCTCCCTTTTGAAGAAAGGATATCAGTTCGAGTCCGTTATTTAGTTGGACAACCCTTTTTAGTGGTGATGAAAGGGTTCATTTCCGAGATGTGAAGGATGGTTACTTTTCCTGCTTTTGACAAACAGATAGACACAAGGGGGTGAAGAGACAGGATAGTAAGAGTAGCAGAAACATGACTTTTGTTAATGTTCTTGAGATTCTGGGCAGCAGGTCAGTCATAGATAGATATTCTGCTATCATGGCTAACCTGCCAACCCAGTGCTCTGGGCTCTGGCTCATCTCTGGGTCTGCGACATCATCTGATTGCTCTGGTCCCTCTCCTTTACCAGTCTTTCTCAGGTTGGGCAGAACTAGGTAGAGCTGATGGGCTGCCTTGTCTCATTGTGCTGGTGCTGTGCAATACAACTGGGGGCGGGGCGGGAGCAGATGTGGGGCTGCTGGCGTATTATTGTGGCTCTTTGGCAATGTACATTGGTAAATTCTGGCTCCTTCTCAGGCTCAGGCTGGCCACCCCTGTTCTAGACTAATTTCAGTTGTTGGGTTTAGTGTGAGGGTGCTGGGTGGCTTTGGTGGACTGTGACATACCAAAGGTCACAGTAGATGATCCAGTGGTCCCTCTGGCCTTAAATTCTATTTGCTTTTTCAAATCGTGACATTTCTCTCTCTCCTGGCTACAGGTATAATTCTTTTTATATTATTGATTGAATCTATCACACTATTTATTTTCCTTTTCAGGCATTTATCCCATACCATGTCCACATTCTGCTTCTTCAGCAACAGTAGTTGACCCAGAAACATCACAAGGTTTAGCTGACAAACATGATCAATTCCAGATCAGGACAGGAAAACATGTGCTGGACCTGTTTTGTGATAACTAAAGGATTACATTCTGAATGGTTCCATGAAGATGATCTGACAGTTAAAGCAAATTCAGGATTTCACTATCACTGATTCAGGATAACTGGTCCTATGTGTGCCTCTTGTAGACCTCCTCTGGGACCCTGGGCAAGTCACAATCTTTGTCTGCCAGAGTTTCCTCAGAGATTTCAAAGTATTATCATTATTAATTATTATTATTATTATAGCTGCTTTCTTCCTGAACACGGAAATCATATGAAAAACAGTTCTAAAAATATCTCAGCAGTTGCTCAATGGCAGAGGCTCAAAGATGAAGTACTGTAATTCAGCCAGGCCAAGTATGTAATTAGACACATCAGATGGCACTAAATTCCTATCAGTCAGTTTCTGTGTCTTCCTACTTTCAGTGGAAGATACCAAATGCTGTTTATATCCAGAGGCCACTTCCTACATCTCTTCCAGTTTGCAATTTCCTTCCAATTCTTAAGAACCAAAACATTCTGGAATAATAATACCTATAAAAGTCATCTTGATTTTTTTAAAAGCTGCAATCAAAAGCAGAAGATACCTACAAAACACGAGGCAGGTAATGATATTTCCAGAGCAAGTCACTGGCATACTGATTTCACCCCCAACTAACGGCCCTAATTATTTTTTTAAGGCTTGTTGCATCTGCCACCATATTGAAATTTCATTTTTCAGAGGAGAAATGCACTTTCTATGAATCTGAACATTTTGATGTGATTTATATTTAAAAAAAATTGTAGGAAATGTCAAGTCTTGCTACTTTTAGAATCCAACAGCCTCAGCAACGCAGCTATGTGGCTGTTTCTGCATGCACATATCCATTTGTAGGCATAATCACAGGAATAGTGCAGGCAAATTAGGCCTACTTGATTTGTGAAAACCATACCCTAAGAGCCCCAATAACTACTTCCTAACAGTCCAAGGCTGCAGCTCATTTGTATATGAATTTACAAATATTTCATCGATGCAGATAACTAACATTTGCTTATACTTTCCAGGTCAATATATAAAAAACTGCTTATGGCTGAGACTACCAGCAAAACAAGCAAAAAATCCCCAAGGCATTCACAGATGTGCTAGGCATAGCTCACTTAGATTCTAGCTTTTTAGAATCCTAAATCATAGAATAATTATTCTGTTGGTCAAATTCAGGTCTGCATATCTTACTTATATGGAGAAACAAGAGTTGGACACATCTAGGGCAACATTGTGCAAATTGATGGGATTAGTACGGTTTTACCAAAGTAGTGAAGAAAAAGGCTGCCCCCTTTCCTAGTCTTTCCTATTCCCTACTGTGTCCAGTCCCGTTCTCCAGTGTCCTGCCCCACCTGCCCATTTTCCTAGCCTTCTATCTGCTCCCTGCATCCTAGCCCCTCCCACCTCCTTGTCCCCAACTGTGCCCTGAGCCCCACCCCATCTGTCCTGTGTCCTGGTCTCTCCCAGGGGTCCCGGCCGACATGCCCACTCCACTGAGACTCCAGTCCCTCTGTATTAGAGGGGTAGCCGTGTTAGTCTGTATCCACAAAACAACGAGGAGTCCGGTGGTACCTACTAAAGCTTATGCCCAAATTAATCTGTTAGTCTTTAAGGTGCCACCAGTCCCTCTGTGATTATCCCCCCCCCCCTTTTCCAAACATGTATTGCATGGTCACGCCCTCCCCTCAGGCTGGGGACTCACCTACCCTAGTGCAGCTGCCCCTATACCTGGGTGCCCTTTAGATCGCCAGCCAGAGGGGTTTGCTCAGGTTTGGGGGGGGCGGGGGTAGAGTCCAGCTGGGAGGGCATATATAGCCCTGTGCCTTGAGTGCCTCAGCACCTCCTTGGAGAGATTCCTAATGCAGGGGTGGGCAAGGCTGCTAGCTCCTTGGGGTGGGGACCCCAATGGGTGTCCTTCCAGGAAAGTCTGTTCATGGAGACCCCTACTGCTATAGTTGCTGCTCGGTCACCCCAAAAGGGGAAACTTATGGGGGGGAGCCACAGGGGGTCCCCTTTGAAATGTGGGGCTGTTTTAAAGGAGTCACTTAGGTTCCATGAATCGTTTTACCAGACCAGGCAGGTCTGTAGTCGGGTTTCGTGCCCTTATTTTTAACTTTTTCTCCTCCTGGGGGGGATGCCTCGCCCTCCAGACTCCCAAGCGTAGGGGGCTCTGCCCCTTGCATCCCCGCTGTGGGCTTTGCCCGCGGGCCAGCCCCTACGTTGAGCAGGGCGCGCACCCAGCAGCGCGACCAGCCGCCGCGCCCTCCACTACGACACGCAGGCTGCCTCTGCCAGCAGCCTCCCCTCCGGCCCCGCGCCTGCGCACAGGCTACCCAGCCTGGGCCCTCCCCCGCGCATGCGCCTGCGCCAGCAAAGCTCTCCCTGACAAGGGGCGGGCGGAGGCGTCGCTCCTCGAACGCGCCTGCGCGCGGGAAGCCCAGGGCACGCGTAGTGGCACGTTTCCAAGGCGGTAGTTGAGGCCGCGGGCCGGCCGAGCCATGTCGGCGGGGCTGCTGAGTCCGGAGCCGGCAGGGAGCGGCGGTAGGTGCCTGGTGGCCGGGAGCCGCCGGTTTCCGGGCCGGATCTGGAAGCGGGAGGAGGCCGGCTGGGCTCCAGCTGAGGCGGGGGCCGGGCCGGGGGCGTCGGGGCGGGGCGGCGAGGCGAGGCGAGGCGGAGAGCCCTGGGCGGGCGAGGTGCCGGCTGGGGCTCCCCGGCCTGGCTGAGCTGCGGGGCGGCCCAACCCCCGCTGGGACGAGAGGACAAAGGCGGGGGCCGCTGGGCCGCCCCGGGCCTGGCGGGAGGCACGCTCAGAACGAGGCTCCCCTCCGCCCGCCGGAGGGTTGGCGGGGGACTGGAGCCGGCGGGGGCCTGCGAGCTCCGCTTGCCCGGCCGGGTGGGGGCAGCGTGGCCCTGCCGCCGGCCGTTCTGCCCAAGCAGTAGCCGTGGTGCCATTTGAGTCGCCGGCGCCTGAGCGCCTCGGCGAAGCGAGCGCCGCTGTCCGCTGCGATACCCCAAAGCCTTACGCTTGGAATCGGGAAATGAGGTTTGTAACCTGGAACAAAATCCAGAGTAGCGGTTGTGTTAAACTGATTGATTGTCACCTGAATTCCTACGTAATAAACCTGGGATGTTGTGTCCCACACAACAGGGGAGCGATGCCAAAGGACCCCCAAAGCCCTGCAGGGGCGACAGTGTGAACACTCAAGATGAAGCTGAATGACGTGAGGGACTTGGTTCTGCAAGCTAAGGGATCCACCGAAATTTTCGTAGTACTGATTACAGTAACTCCTCGCTTAATGATGTAGTTATGTTCCTGAAAAATGCGACTTCAAGTGAAATGATGTTAAGCAAATCTAATTTCCCCATAAGAATTAATGTAAAGGGGTGGGGGTGTTAGGTTCCAGGGAAATTTTTTTCACCAAACAAAAGACTATATATCATATAAATTTTAAAGAAACCATTTAATATTGGTACACAGCGATGATGATTGTGACTCTTGGTTGAGGTGAAGTCAGAGGGTGGGATATTTCCCAGGGAATGCCTTACTGCTAAACGATGAACTAGCACTCAGCTGAGCCCCCAAGGGTGAACACAGTTGTTAATATAGCCTCACACTCTACAAGGCAGCAGGAATGGAGGGAGGGGAGACAGCATGGCAGAGAAAGACAGAGCTACACTGTGTGTGTGTGTGAGAGTGAGAGAGAGAGAGAGAAACTTGCATTGCCCCTTTAAGTACGTTGACCCCACTCTAAGTACATTGCCTTTTTAAGTAGATCAACAAGTTGAGGCAGCTGCTGCTGGCAAGCTCCCTCCGACCTGTGCCCTGGACCTGAGCCCTGTGCCCTGTCGTGTCCCGCTCCTGCTCTATGGAGATGGGGTAAGTGGGGTGCAGGAGGACACCCTGACATTAGCCCCCTTCTACCCCCACGCACAGCAAGCAGGACTCCTGGAAGCAGCTCCAAGGCAGAGGGTAGGAGCAGCACATGGCAGTGGGGGGAGGGACAGCTGAACTACCCGGAAATTGATAGCCTGTTGTGCAGCTGCGACACAGAGAACTTAGGGGAACGGGGAGCTGATGGGGGGGCTGCTGGTCCACCCTGGTTCCAAGTCCCCACCAGCTAGCTCCAATGGGCTGCTCTTCCTGCAAGCAGTGGACAAAGCAGGTGGCTGCCAAAAGACGTTATAAGGGAGCATTGCATAACTTTAAACGAGCATGTTTTCTAACTGATCAGCAACGAAACAACGTTAACTGGGATGACTTTAAGTGAGGAGTTACTGTACTGTGTCCAGATATGTTTGCAGTAAGCAGTCCTAACATAGAACAAAGATCAATAACAAATTCATTGTTAAGTACAAAGTAACGTACATTGGAAAACATCCCAACTATACATACAAAATGATGGGATCTAAATTAGCTGTTCTGACCTCAAGAAAGGGGTTGTTGAGTCATTGTGAATAGTTCTCTGAAAACATCTACTCAATATGCAGCAGCAGTCAAAAAAAAGCTAAAAATGTTTGAAACAAATAGGAAAGGAATAAATAAGACCAAAGATGAGATAATACCACTATATAAATCCATAGTATGCCCACACCTTGACTACTGCATGCAGTTCTGGTCACTCCATCTCAAAAAAGATGTATTAGAATTTGAAAAGGTACAGAAAAGGGTAACAAAAATGATTAGGGATATGGAACAGCTTCCATAGGAGGAGAGATTAAAAAGACTGGGAATGTTCATGGAAAAGACTAAGGGGTGTACGATAGAGGTCTATAAAATCTTGAATGGTATAGAGAAAGTGAATAGGGAAGTGTAATTTACTCCTTCACATAACATAAGAACCAGGAATCTTCTGATGAAATTAAGGGGCTGCAGGTTTAAAACAAACACAAGAAAGTGCTTCTTCACAATATGCCTGGGAATGTTGTAAAGGCCAAAAGTATAACAGGGTTAAAAAAAGCATTAGATAATTTCACAGAGGATAGGTCCATCAATGGCTATTAGGGACAGTAGATGGGGAAGGTTCTGAGTTACTAGAGAGAATTCTTTCCCAGGTGTCTGGGTGGTGGGTCTTGCCCATATGCTCAGTCTAACTGAATGCTATATTTGGGGTTGGGAAAGAATTTTCTCTCAGGCAAGGTTAGCAGAGACCCTGGTGGGTTTTTTTGCCTTCCTCTGCAGCATGGGTCACTTGTAGGTTTAAACTAGTGTAAATAGTGTAGTGGATTCTCTGTAACTTGAAGTCTTTAAACCATGATTTGAGGACTTCAGTAACCAGCCAGAGGTTAGGTGTCTATTACAGAAGTGGGTTGGTGAGGTTCTGTGGCCTGGAATGTGCAGGAGGTCAGACAGATGATCATGATGGTCCTGACCTTAAAGTCTGTGAGATGATGAAGAATGTAACCCCATGCTCTGGGTGTCCCTTAGCCTGTGACTGCCAGATGCTGGGACTGGGCGACAGGAGATGGCTCACTAGATTAATTGCCCTTATTTGTTCATTCCCCCTGAAGCATTGGTCGCTGTCGGAAGATAGGATACTGGGCTAGATGCACCATTGGTTGGATCCAGTATGGCTGTTCTTATGTTGTGACAGTGCTGTAGCTGAGCATGGTGCTCTGCAGACAAAAAGGAACACAAAATTCCTGTTCCCTGAAGAGTTAAGAATTTAAATTAGATAAGATGACCCTTGATTCCTCTTCTCACCTTCCTGTCCCCGCCACTCCTCCCCAAAAGGAAATTAAAAAAACTGTGTGAGGAAAGACAGACGTGTGTTGGTGGGATTTTTTTTAGATTTTGTATTTTTATAAGAACATAGGACACAGAGCTCTTCATGTAGATGCTTATAAATTACACTTTTTAATTTAGAAGAGAAGAAAAATTTTTCTTTTGTTTTTATATTTATTAAAGCTTATGTTTAATAATTTATTTTTCATATTCTCTCCAGACATTTCTTTAGCAGAGCCAAGACCAGTGAGAGCCTTGATGGCTTGAGGCAGTGTGGCCTACTGAATAGGGCAGTGGACTGGCAGTCAGGAGACTTGGATTCTATTCCTGTCTATGTCACTGCCCTCTTGCGTGACTTTGAGCAAATCGCTTTCCCTCTCTGTGCCTGTTTCCCTTCCTACCCTTTGTCTATGTTGTACATTTAGATCGTCTGCCCCAAAGTTAGTTTACATTCGTAGTGCGTGCAAGTATATGAGTACAGTGCCTAGCATAATGAGATCCTGATCTCAGTTGTGGCCTTTACGCTCTATTGTAATACAAATAATAGTAATTGTTCTTATGCCTGCTGATGGGGATTGCATTGTGGAGTGGAGCTGGGAGACGTAGCTGTAACACTGCACACTATGTAGATTACTGGTGTGGCCTGCATTGACACAGCTACAGGCTGGGCTGAGATGTGCTCAGAGATTTGTGTGTTCTGCTGGTGGTTGCAATGCCTGTAAAGCATGGGTATGGAAACAAGGTGTCTTAGAAATGTTGTGGGCAGTAGATCTTGGAACTGCCAAATAACAATGCAATTTTTGGTTATGTAGATGGGCCTCTGTCTTACTCTACATTGAAGAGAATGTTTTGGTTTTTTTTAAAAAGCACTAATACGGTTTTTGTCTGTTTTCAGAGTCTGATGTCTTTGAAATTGACCTTCCCATCACGATCTTTGTGCTGAGTGATGATGATTTTCTAGAAAGTGAAGACGAAGAGGAGGCAATTTTGAGTGGTGATGATATTTTGAAGAGTGAAGAAGAAGAGGTGGCCACTTCGAATGATGGTGATCGCCCAAAAAAAGGCAAAGAGGAAAAGCAGGTGCCTTCAAGTGGTGGTGATGTTCTAAGGAGTCAGGTGCAGCCCCACTTGAATGAAGATTATGTTCTAAAATGTCCAGAGGAAGAGCAGGTTACTCTGAGTGTGTCTGAGAAATCAAATTCAGCCCAAATTTCTTTAAGTGATCAATATGCTCTGGGCAGTAGCAAACCCAGCCAAAATGATGTGTCATGCCTGTCAGCTCCCAGAATGGACCCTGGAGAGGTAAATGGATGTGTCGAAAGCAAGGATGACATCAATTGCCAAAAGGTTCCTCTTCCTCTCTCATGTGGTGACAATAAGGGTAGAGATGGTCTGACTATTGAGACAAATAGGCAGCTGATTCCAGGAGCAATTTTTAAAGATGGAAAGGAACATGAGACTTCTGCAATCGGTTCCTCTGACAGCAATCAAGAGTACCAGCCAGCACTCCATTGTAAAGAAGCAGAGAGATGTGTTGAGACTGAAGGTGAGAGAGAGAGAGAGAGAGAGAAAAGGACAAGGACGTAGTCATGAGCTAATGTTAAAAAAACAGAAGTATGGTATTGAGAGAGATTTGGGGAAGAAGTGAGAAAAGAAAGAGGTACAAAACACAGGAGTGGGAAAGGGGGAAGAGAAAGGAAGTACACTGAAGACAACTCAGGATAAAGTTAGGGTTTATCTTTCCCATATTGTATTATAGGAAAGAAATTAATAATGGTGGAATTTGATATACCCAGTGACTTTTTTTTCTGCTACTTGACCACCCCAGTAGAGGCACGTGCACACAGTACATTTATGAAATAGAAAGATGATTGCCAGTGTTATAATGGTACACAGCTCTTCTGTTCCTTTAATTTGGAGTGGAGGGGCACCATAGTGGCACAGGCATTTTTCCACCCTGGCTAGTAAACTGAGTCGTCAGACTAGTAGGCATTAGGTACATTTTCAAGACCTTTCCACAGAAGTGTTCATTATATGATGGTATGGAGAAACGTGGTACATGATTTACTGGTGTGAATGAAAATGAGCTTGGTCTCATTCTCATGCCCAGCACAAAATTTCTGCACAGACTTTGTCCAACCAGCAGTTTGTGCTCACAAATAGGCCAGGACTAAAATAAGAGGTGTATTGCAGGTTGGGAGTTCTGTCCATATTGTTGGGGAAAGCTTGCCCGGCACCTCCCATACATTATTTATACCTCTAGTCCCTAATTTAGCACTTAACTTTGCTCACCAATAAGGATGAGGTAAGGGCTATGAAGATATGGCTGTTGGTGAATACTCTGGGAGAACCAGTAGTTACGTTGTGGTGGTCCACGTCTAATACAGCTGAGTGAAATTATATAAGGAAATAATTTTACCTTTTTTAGCATCAGTGAGTGACATTCCCTACTCTGAATATAAATTCTGCTGGCAGTCAGTAATTCTCCAGTTTTATCACTGGGGCTCTTTTGTTTTCTCTGTTTAGCGTATCATAACTTGGATGGGAGTTACTGAGATCATGCCAGGCTGTAGATTACTAGATGACATATCACATGTATTTTCTTACATTTTTAGGTACTGTCCCTTTAGAGAAGGCAAAGAATAAAACTGATGACAGAACAAGAAAGAGAAATGGCTCTACAGATGAAACTCTGAATTGTGGAATGGATAGCAACTTTGAAGATCTGAATGCTGTAGAAGAAATAGAGCAAGTCCAAAGTATTTTTTTTACTTGTATTAATGGTGACTTTTCTACAGCAGGAGAGTTGCTAGAAGATGTAGGGGACTTGGCAATGAATGCTTGTGATAATCCTGGATTAAATATTTCTGAAGAGCTTATTCATCAGTCTGTAATTCCATCTCCCAGGGAGATGGATAAGCGAGAAGTTTGTGATTTTTCTCATGTGATTATAAAACACCCAAATGTAAAGCATCAGGAAGAGACATTCCTACTAGGTAATGCGCATAACAGTGAAGCTGTTTCTGTGGGATTTTGTTCTACCTACAAGAATGAGAAGACACTGAATCTGAAATGCAGGTTTTGTAGCTCTGTGTGTACAAGTAAAAATACTCTAAAGAAACATGTTTGTTCAGCACATCAAGATAAAAAAATTCACAAATGCTGCTTTTGCCAAAGAAGCTTTTTCTTTTCTGTCAACGTTAAACGCCATCTTAAATTTCATAAGAAAATGACCAGGTTGAAAAAGACAAGAAAAGGTAGAAGTATGAACACTGAAAAAGCCAGGAAGGAGACCCCAGCAAAAACACAATCTGCGAATAAAAAAAAGGAAAGTAAGTATGAGAAATTTTTCATCAAAATTGAAAGGGACTGTAAAACTGTAGATGCTCCAGTTATTTTTTCTTGTAAAATTTGTCTCTTTGCTTCACCAGATCCTAAACTTTTTGTTTATCATATGAAGGGACATAAAGGCAGACAGCCTTATCAGTGTCCCCAGTGTAACTATTCTTGTGTTAGCTTGTCCTATATGCTAAATCACATGTACTGGCATGCTGGCTATAGACTGTACAAATGCAGGTTCTGTACATTTTTTTCACTGTATTTTGCAAGTATGGTGAAACACAGTTACATTCATACAGGGGCTAAGCCGTATTCCTGTGAATTCTGCCAGTCGTCATTCACAAGCACAAGTGGCTTAAAGAGACACACAAATATACATGTTGCCAAAGAATTGTGCCAAGGGCAGCAACACTTTGGCTTGCCTGTCGAGGGGAAGAGAACTAAAAGTCCTCCAAAGAGCTATACATGTGATCAGTGTAACTTAGTATTTTACACTAAAGGACTACTCTGCTTTCATGAGAAATTTCATAGCCAAGTTAAAGGCTGTGATGAGATGTTTGCAAATGAGAGTAATGAATACAATAAAAGCAAAGCATGTACAGATGACAACGATTACCAAAAGGACTGGGTTTCTTCTGGTTCTGACAATAAATGGGATGATCACCTGCTTAATGAGAAACATGAAATGCTGGCTTCAGGAGCAGAACTTGAACAGGAGAATGAATTTGAGAAGGATATGAATATATGCTCTGGCAAAACAATGTGCCAAAGCAGCCAGGGAACCAACAATTTGCCTGTTGTGAGGACTGGATCAGAAACTCTTTTCAGTATTTACAAGAGCGAGCAGTGTGATATAGTGTTTTGCAAAGAGAAGCATCTGTTTTTTCAGAAGGTCGCTCATTCACAAGTTCAAGAATGTAATGAGATTGTTACAAAGGCTCCCAAGGCTGAGGAAAATGTTAAGTGTATTGATGTACAGCCTCCTGTTGGGACTTCTCACAAACTGTTCAAGTGTCAACAATGTGATTATGCCACTTACATTTTTAGCAACCTTAAGCTGCATTTTAGAATACACACTGGTGAAAAACCATTTGAGTGTAAAGAGTGCAACAAGATGTTTCGCACCTCCAGCCATTTGCGGAGACATAGTCTTATGCACATAAAGAAAGGTCATGAAAGTGGCCATTGCCATTATTTGGGCAGCACTTCAGACAATCTTAAACTGCACTGTGAAATACGTAAGGGCACGTGCCCTAAAAGGGAAGATCTTAGTTCCTCAAAAGACTTAAAGTGTGTTCGTTCCATATGCAGCTCAGAAAACCTTCAGAAACAGATGGATGTTCATGAGGGCAAAGAAAATGAACATGTTCTACCATCACAAAGTCTTCCACAACTTTACAAGTGTGAACAGTGTAATTACATCACTTATGTTTTAAGCAACCTCAAACTACACACAAGGATTCATACAGGTGAAAAGCCCTACAGCTGTGACACTTGTCAGAAGAAGTTTCGTACTTCAGGTCATCTAAATCGACACAAGCTTGTGCATTTAAAGATAGAACGCCTTAAGTGTAGGAACTGTGACTATTCAACAGACAAATGGCAGTCCCTTAAGTGGCATTTGGCTTCACACTCGGATGAAAAAAACCTGGTTAGTAGCAAAGTCAAAGCGCAATCACTGCTACCTGTCAAAATATACAAGTGTGAAGAGTGTGGCTATGCTACTGCCCATAGTGGAAACTTTAAGCAGCATTTGAGAATTCATACAGGTGAAAAGCCATACAAATGTGACCAGTGTGCTCTTGCTTTCCGCACTTCTAGCCACCTGAAGCGTCACTTACTAACTCATTTAAAGTTACGCTGCAACAAGTGAGTTTTCCACCATGGATAAATGTGCTCTAGAGAAACATGTAAAAACACAAGGATAAAAAAAATGTACAAATGCCAAAAGTGCAGTGTAACACTTTCCACCATACATCTCTTAGAGAAACATAAGAAACAGCATTTAAAAACTGGAAAATAAAACCAGGATTTGTTAAAATTCCTGAGTTACAAGCTTGGATCTAGGAAGTTTTGCAGTAGTTTGAACTTATACCTTGGCAGAAGAGCACAATTTCTTCCTCTTTGCCCTGTATCCCACCTATATGAAATGCCTTCACCTGGCACTAGGTAAAATTGACATGGTAATGATTATGGACCAGACTCTTGGGTATTCTCACAGTGTATAGAGTGGAAGTCTGGGGATGGTGTGGAATGCTGACATAAAACACTGCCCTACTGCTATGAGCATTACTTCCACTACTGCGTTAAAGAAGCCTCAGAGCTGTTTCTAAATTATGTTGGCCTATAAAAGTCACAAGGGGCTGTTTTAAACTAGCTCAGACTGGAATGTTCAGACAAACTTCTGCTAATGCTCATCCATTCAGTAAGCGAACGTCATACCACTGTCCTGTCAGCAAGGAGAGGGTTTGATGTCAGCGCTCCTACATTGGCTGTACTCCACTGCTGGGTCACCCTTACACTAAGATCTTCCCTGTCCCACTCACTTGGGTTTTACAACCAAAATATGCTATGTCTTTCTGAAAAGAATTTAAATCAAATTCTTCTCTTACAAATCAGTAACCTGTAGATCAAAAATTTAGTTAAAAATTAGTCCTCCTGCAACTACTGATATTGCCATGCCTACCTAATACTGCAAGAGGATGACTTATAAAACCACTAGTTACAATAATTGATTATAGAAACAGAGTGGGCATGTTTGTGTGTGTGTGTGAACACCCTAGAAGACAGGTTACTAATAAGGATTCAGCATTGATGAGTGCTGCTGCATCAGTAGCTTTTGAGGCTTAACTCTTGATTTGGACTCTTGAGTAGAAATGTTCTTAAAGTTTTGTACTGCTGTCCTTCAAAGGCCTAATCCTGTAAAATACTGTACCCCCTCAAAGCACTTTGCAAGATAAGTTCCAAACTGTTTGCAAGAAATGAAGTAGGAAGTAGAAGATACAAATAATGGATACCTCCAACCTACCATTTGATGTTTGCTTTCCAAGTGTTCTGCTGCATATCAGAAAATCTCCTTCATTAAGAGGATTTGATGGAAAAGCTGTGGATCTATTAAGATCCCTACAGTTTAAACTGTCTCCTTAAAGGAGACTTTACTAGAGCCGCTTGTTTGCGTACGTTCTTTGTTGTTACAGGTCATTATCAATGAAGTGTTTATTCCAAATGTCTGTCTGATTGTGACAAACTTTTTTCTTTATTTTAGATGAAGGAAATTACTCCGTTGATTTAAATGCATTTGGCAAAATGCTGGTATATTTTTCAGAAATATTCAAGTTTATACTTTTCAGTGCCGCTTGTATCTTTTGAAGATTCCTCTGTTAGCCCTCTACAAAGGACAAATAAGAGAAATATGTAGTATGTATATTTCAGCAATTTGTATTAAACAGTTTAATGTTTGTAAAATGTTTTTTCCTAACATTAGTCTCAAATCCTAAAATTTCCCTTTATGTCAAAGGTGGATAAAATTCAGTGTTTGCTGTTAAAATATTTAATTTTGCCCTTGTAGGGAGATAACATTACTATGGTTCCTTCAAATATAAGGAACACAATGGTAATGTTAAAGATGTTAATAGAAGGAAAAATTGGTAAATTAATCTAACTTAACACTTTGATATACTGCCTCAAAGGAATTTCATTAAATCATGTTATACTGTCTCTTTAAAATTGCATGTGCAAGGTCCACTCAAGCAAAGAGCTAGGTCAACAAAGTATCTAGCTACAACTTAGTAGAAATACAGCAAGTGGGAGACCTAAGAATGGAATTGGGCTTTTTATTTCATGCTGTAAGAGTAGGTGTTACTTGAGCATCTGCAATGTATGATGCTAAGATTTCCCCAGCACTACTTGCCCCAGGGGATTTGTAATGGCAGAACTTTGTGCCTAGCATCTGTTACAATTACTGCAAAAGATTAAGAGACTGGGAAATTAAAAGAAAAACTCTCTAAAGTAGGGGATTCTTGGTATCCCTTTCTTTAATCTTTTCGAAGCCACAAGACAGGAAAGTTGCACTGCAGAACAAGTAGAGCTAGAAAACAAGAGAGTATGAAGTATGGGTACCTACAGTGAGATCTGGTACATCTACCAAATGTATCTTGTGGTCTTCCTTATTAATATGGAGGTGTAGTATAGAAACTATAGGTTTCCAACACTAGCTGTTCTCTTGATCTGAGGAGAGGGTGGTGGTCTCCATATTACCAAAGAGTGTGGCTGCAGTGTGCTCCATTTTACGGAATTAGGAGCAGCCCTTAGGCTCCCATCAAACTGCTTCTATAGCCTCTGAATAGGGCACAGTTTGGCCTGAAAGATATTTTAGCTCTTTTTTTTTTCCTCCTTCAAAAAGTGCCTGGTTTTCTGTTGAGTTTTTCTTATTACCAATGCTTAATGCTGTAGCATTTTGGCTCCTATCAAGCTGTGAAAACCTCTATTAAGATGGCCTATCTTTCCTGATATTTCAATATAGCACAGAAGTGTGTTATGCTGGAGAGTCTACGTCTGAAACATAAAAAGCTTTCTTAATTTGATTTATAATTGAAGTCACAAATGCTGAAGAAAGCAGCAAAAATCACTTTAAAAGGGCAAGTTACGTACTATACTATGGGGGGCCCCTAGTGCTCTATAGGTGTAACTGCACATGCTCTACTGCTTTTGATCTTACCTAGCTAAACCTTGTTGAAACAGCAGAAGAGTGAATGGCCTCTCCACTGGGAAAAATGTGGTAATGACAGATTTTTACACTTTAGTCCTGTTTTTGTATGCAGTGCACCACAATTCTTATTGCCTTGCATTGTGCCTTTTCCAGAGTATAGAGTATTATAAAATTCATCTTTGTGAAAAGTAAATGGGTGTAGGTGAATTACATCATTTCATGTAATAAGTTATACCACTTCATTTATCTGTCAATGGAGGCATTTGGCTTAAAAAAATAATTAAAAAATTACAATGAGGTGAAGGCTGTCCTATGTTTTTTCTTGGTATTAGAGCTCAGTGTTCAAGAGGAATATTAATATACATTGTTTGGTATAAAGAAAAGGAGTACTTGTGGCACCTTAGAGACTAACCAATTTATTTGAGCATGAGCTTTCGTGAGCCACAGCTGATGAAGTGAGCTGTGGCTCACGAAAGCTCATGCTCAAATAAATTGGTTAGTCTCTAAGGTGCCACAAGTACTCCTTTTCTTTTTTGCGAATACAGACTAACACGGCTGTTCCTCTGAAACCTGTCATTGTTTGGTATGTGCTTTGAGGTAAGAGCAAGGAAAAGATTGTGAATCTATATAAAAATGATGGTCCTTTTTGGAACAAGGTACCCTTGAAGGTCTCTGTGAAACAAATGAAATACATTCCTTTACATTTTCTTACATATAAAAGGCCTTCAGGGTACATGACTGTCGATGTATGTGAAGAAAATGTTCCTCTTCTGTCTCATTTGTTTCTTACCACTAAAGATGGTCTTTTGTAAACAACCATTAATCACCCGAACTTAAATGCATGGTCTGTTTAGTAACTGATTCTAAAACAGGCTGTATTCAACTTGAGTAATATTTAGAGGACCAAATTTTTAACTCAGTCAAGCAAATCTGTATTCAACTTGAGTAATATTTAGAGGACCAAATTTTTAACTCAGTCAAGCAAATAATCCCGCTGATTTCACTAGACCACATACACGCCGCCTCCAGCGCCCCCCTCGCCGCATTACAGGAGGCTGTCTCACCTCCAGGGTCACACCCAGCCCCGCTCCCTCCTTCCCCCAATCTCGCTCGTACTGGATCGGGTCTCCTTCCCCCCTCCCCGGGTCCCGCAGGTTGCTTCCAGCCGGCGGAGTTCCGTGTCCGCAGCACCGCCGGGCGCCAGATGGCGCTATGGCAATACTTCCCAGCCATGCCGGCTGCCCCTGAGCAGCCCTGTACACCAGCCCGGCTCGTCTCTTCCCCTCCCTCCACCTTCAGAGCTGCGCACGCGCAGCTTTTACAATTTGACTGGCGGGAGCCTCGTCCCCTCTCAATGCGCATGCGTACAGCTCCGACTTACGGACTAACTGTGCGTCGGCTCGGAGTTTTGACACATTCCCTGCGCCCTTGTCCGAACTGCGCCTGCGCAGAATCTCAACCGCCCGTAGCGCGGAGAGACTAGTGGTGTCTCTCGTGCGCCGCCGTCGTCTCTTTTCTTTTGCAGCCCGCTCGCCTTCGCTGCCAAGATGCCGCGGATCATGATCAAAGGAGGCGTGTGGCGAAACACCGAGGTAGGGGCCGCTTCCATTCTTGGGGCCCACCCGCAGGGTCGGCGGCTGAGCCTCTGCGCGGCAGCGAGAAGGGGTAGCGGAGCGCATGCGCTGAAACGGGGGGCTGGAGGGGGTCTTGCGCATGCGCAGATGGTGTCTCCAGCATGGTCTCCGAGATACGTTTATGTGCCTCGGGTTCTCGAGACCCCGCCGTCGTCGTCCCCCCCCCGCCTGCTTAACACTTGAGGGTCCCCAGTGTGCAGCGCGGGGAGGGCCCAGATCCGCTTGGGCCCTGTGTGCTGGGAGCTGTCCCTTCTGCAGTCCGGGGTACCGAGTGTGTAGTATGAGCAGAGAGCACAGACCCGCCTGGGCCCTGTGTACTGGGAGCTGGCTCTGCTGCAGGCTGGGGTTCACAGTGTACAGCACTGCTGTGGGTCTCAGATCCACATGAGCATCTGTGTGCTGGCAGTGGTCCCCAGTGTGCAGAAATGGGCAGGGGCCCTGTCAAGGTTCCTCCCCCACTCTGAACTCTGGGGTACAGATGTGGGGACCTGCATGAAAAACCTCCTAAGCTTATCTTTACCAGCTTAGGTCAAAACTTCCCCAAGGTACAAAGTATTACACCCGTTGTCCTTGGACTGGCCGCTACCACCACCAAACTAATACTGGTTACTGGGGAAGAGCTGTTTGGACACGTCCTTCCCCCCAAAATACTTCCCAAAACCTTGCACCCCACTTCCTTGACAGGGTTTGGTAAAAAGCCTCACCAATTTGCCTAGGTGACTACAGACCCAGACCCTTGGATCTGAGAACAATGAAAAAGCATTCAGTTTTCTTACAAGAAGACTTTTAATAAAAATAGTAGTAAATAGAAATAAATAAATCCTCCCTGTAAAATCAGGATGGTAGATACCTTACAGGGTAATTAGATTAAAAAACATAGAGAACCCCTCTAGGCAAAACCTTAAGTTACAAAAAAGATACACAGACAGAAATAGTTATTCTATTCAGCACAGTTCTTTTCTCAGCCGTTTAAAGAAATCATAATCTAACACGTACCTAGCTAGATTACTTACTAAAAGTTCTAAGACTCCATTCCTGGTCTATCCCCGACAAAGACAGAATATAGACAGCGACACAGACCCTTTGTTTCTCTCCCTCCTCCCAGCTTTTGAAAGTATCTTGTCTCCTCATTGGTCATTTTGGTCAGGTGCCAGCGAGGTTACCTTTAGCTTCTTAACCCTTTACAGGTGAGAGGAGCTTTCCCCTGGCCAGGAGGGATTTCAAAGGGGTTTACCCTTCCCTTTATATTTATGACAGGCCCCTTGTGCACTGGGAACCAGTTCCTCTGCAGGCTTGGGTCGCCAGTGTGCAGTATGAGTAGGGTACTCATGTCCACATGTGCCCTGTGTGCTGGGAGCTGTTCTCTCTGCTGGGGTTCAGAGTATTCCGCATGGCCAGGGGGTCAGAGCCACATGGGTCCCTGTGTGCTGGAAAGTGTTTCTTTCTGTAGAATGCTTTATCTCTCCCTATGAGGAAGGGTGAGGAAAAGTATAGGCTGATCTCCTGTGGTAAGAAGCATTTCTGACAAAGTAATTATGTGGTCCTTCAATTAGCTAAAGTTGGGTCATATCCTGACATAACAAGCACAAACGTTTCCCTCCATCTGGCAAGGCCTGTATTCTCCTACCTTCTCAGACCTTCAGAGATATTCTCTCCCCTTTGTCCTTATCCTCTCAAAGGATGATGACCTCAAGAATGCATCTCCTCTGAGGGCTCTACAGAAGCTAGAGTCTTACCAGGATGACACCGAAGCAAGTGCTTGTATTTGGTGTTGTACTCTGGTGATTGTTTCACAGTAAACATGTGTGGCTACATGATGGTCATGCAAAAAATGATCAGTGATTATTTGTACATCTTATCAATGTTATTGCTGTGGTGCTAACTTGTAGCAAATGGACTCTTGCAGCAAGAGATGGAAGTATGATAAATATAGAGAGAAGATTTTTTCATTTAAAAATATATATCTATTCCCCGGTAGTATCCCAAACCAAAACTCAGCAGCCTATGATTAAAGCCACAATGCACTCTGAAGACTTGTGTACACTATGAAGAACAACTTTGTGCAGTTAAACTGGTGCGGAACATAGTTTAACTGCAAATGTCTGTTGTTGGCAATGGATACTCTTCTTGTATAGACTGGGCTATAATAAGCATTTGTGGAGCACTTGGTAGATCACTTATTTGATCACTCCATGTGCTTTTCTCTACACTGCCACTTAAGTCAGTGTAACTTAGGTTGCTCAGGGGTGTGAAAACAACACCCCGTGAGCAACATAAGTTACATCGACTTAGCGCAGTGTGGACATTGCTTTATGTCGGAGGGAGACGCTCTCCCGCCAATATAGCTTCCGCCTCTCATGGAGGTGGAGTAATTATCCTGACGGAAGAGCGCTCTCCTGTCACCATAATGCATCTTCACCAGTCGCACTACAGCGGCACAGTTGCATCGGTGCAGCTGTGCCAATGTAGTGCAGTAGTGTGGACTTTCCCTTAGAAAAAGATGCCATCTCATCCTAGGAAAACTTCAAAGGGTAACTGAGCTTTTCAGCTTTTGTTCACATCTCTGGTCACAGTACCAGTGCATGCACTTTATGGTTTCCGTGCTAGAATAGTCTGCAACAGGTCCATAACTTTCTTCCCATAATCTCCTAAATTTGGGGGTTCTAACTTTATTCTAATAAAAGTGAAATGCAAGGCTTCTGTGGAAGAGGGGAAGTTTGGGTTTGGGAACATGTAGTTCTTTCTCTTTCATGGGATTGATGCTTCTATAACTTTGTCTTCTGAGACAAAACTGTTCTATCTCAACACAGGTTTGCATTCCAGTGTCTTGACGTTATCTTCACTATGTCACCTGCCATCAGGAAGTCATGGTGCACACCTTGTCTTGTGACGTAGTATCAGCCCTGATGTAGTGTAGTGATGTAGTGTCAGCCCTAATGGACACTTTATTGTGAGGTAACCCTGTGAAAAATGGAGCTGATGTTTATTGAATTCTTGTGGTGAAGATTTCATGACACTTGGAGATCATATCCTCTTTCCTCTGTTTGAAGTCTTCTCAGGATCTGCAGCTGTTTCAGTTGAAACACCTGCAAATGGGATATTTCATAAATAGATTTCATATGCCATTGTTTGTTTGGTACAAAAACTTTTAGCACTCCTAGGTAACATATTTGCCATTAAACTGTAAAATTAAGTGTGCCTACAGTTGCCTTGTCACAAAAACAAGTGTTCCTAACAACACTTTGTTCATACTACACATCACGTGCACTACATCATGTATATCATAATGATCGCTATCCCCAAACAAAGTTGAGACTAGGAAGTGGCTGTTAATCTGCCATGTATTGTATTAAATGACTATACAAGAACAGAAACTTGCTTAGGTTTAGGATGCAAATATAAAAAAATAAACAGTTCTAGCTGTGACCAGATCTGCAACCAAGTGCTTGTCTTGTTATTGACTTCTTCTTTTAGGACTTTCAAAGCTTGCTGTTCTTTAGCCAGTTGGCTCAATTTCCATCGCAAACTTGAAACTTCCAATTAAAGGGACATCATCAACTTGAAATCTACTCAATTTAATAAAAGTTGAAAGTGGTTTTAGGTGCCATATATGCCCCAATTTTCATGCTTTTACAATGTCCTATTGTTAAAAATATTTTCTCACCACTCTTGTTGTGTGAGGGATTCACACAACCCTGGAAACTTACTGTACAGGAGAAACGATGAAACTGGCCATTCACCAAGTGCTGTCAAATACCCAAAGTAAATGGTAATAATTTTCTTTTGATAACCTCTTTCAGCTATAGTAATTTTAAATGTCAACTGTAACATTAATGACATTGGTGAAACAGCCCTAAATCTTCACTCACCTTCGATGAGAGCAAAATTTTGGGGAAAAGAGGGTTACTTTGCCCTTCCCACCTGGCCACCACCCTTATCAAACCCTCTCCTCCATCTCTCCTCACAGAGCTCAAAGCAAGCATTCATCTCTGATAAAGTTTTCTAATGACCCATTGTAATAAGAATTCTTTTTGTTTTAAGGATGAAATTCTTAAAGCAGCTGTGATGAAATATGGCAAAAACCAGTGGTCTCGTATTGCTTCCTTGTTGCACAGAAAATCAGCAAAGCAATGCAAAGCCAGATGGTAAGTAGAGAACACAGTAAATGGGAAAGCGAGATCCGTAGTTAGTGTGAATTTAAAGGTTATTATAGAATTTGTCAGTGGTTCAGGTCCAGGGGAGAGAGAGATGATTCTTATTTGATGTCATCTTCTGCAGATATCAAACTTGTATTCCTTGAAAGTAACATGAGCAAAAATAGAAAGCCATTCACTTTACGGATGACATCAGTGACATCACATAAACTGAAGATACAGGATCATTATGAAAATTAAGTTCATAATAATCACTTTGTAGTCTGACTTACATATTTTAACGAGATATTTGTCAGAAAGAAACTGCACAAAGAAAATTCACTTTAAATAAGCTCTTTGTATTAATATAAAGAGGCTTTCAGACCATTCAGTTTAGCCTCCCCTTTTTTTATTTTCCAGTACTAGATTTGAATGTGTACCAAAAAACCCCAAACCCTTAAAATTAACACACATGTACTAACAAATCCATATGAGATTTAGACCCCAATCCTGCAGACACTGAAGCGCACATGCTAAACTTAGTGGAAGCATAATCTAATGGAACTACATGCATACTTAAAATTAAGTGTGTGTTTAAGTATTTGCAGTATCGGGACCTTAATTGTTCTCCACCATTTCTTGTAACCATTTGAAAATGGTATGTAAAACCACATTACTAATAAAGGCTAGTTTTGTGAATCCTGTCTTGTGGCAAAAAAAAGTGAGGATGAGGAGAGATGGGAAGATCTGTATGACAAATGAGAACAAAACATAAAGCTTTCTATGTATAAAAGTGCTACCTATAATACATGTCTTTGAATACCATAGATTAGATATATCCAGGATGAGATTCTAAATCCTATCATAATGGTGTGTGGAAGCAATATGACTTGCTCACAACTGAATTGTCATAAACTGTCTCAGAAATGCCCTCCTTTAATTTTACGACCATGTAACAGGTACGAGTGGCTGGACCCAAGTATCAAAAAAACAGAATGGTCACGGGAAGAAGAGGAGAAACTATTACACTTGGCCAAGCTAATGCCAACCCAGTGGAGGACCATTGCTCCAATCATTGGAAGAACAGCTGCGCAGTGCTTGGAACACTATGAATTTCTGTTGTAAGTGACTCTATTTTGCTAAACATAAATAGCATGAAAATGTTTATAGTTTGTTACATAGACATCAGGAGGTTGCTGGCTGTGTGGACATATTCTCTTCTCCTTCCCTGCTGCTGCAGCTGGAAGGGCTTCCAGTTGACTTGGGCCTTCTGTAGGCTGCTTGGTTGGGCTACCTAGCTTGATGGGAAATGCTCCTGGTCCCTGGTGGTCTGGAGGGAGGCAGAGAGAGAAATGACTGGCCCATTTCCTGGCAGGAGTTGCTAGCAGGCCCGTCGTGCAGCAGTTCTCTATTATCAATATCTTTCCATGTACAGCTGTTACCCACAACAGATGAGTTCACTCCTGTCACCCTCATTACTGCTGACTTGTCCACTTTGCATGTTTCATTGCCTCTCTTTCGGTTGTTTTTATTAATTTGTGATGCTTTTGTTCTGGTAGCTTAAATATTAGTGTTCAATGATTTCATAATTCTTCTCTGCAGTTAGTAAATGTCTGTAATATTTACTGTGAGCTACCAGCTTACATTTCTTGGGCTTTTTTGGGGGTTTGGGATTTCAGGAGAGAGTTGCTCATTTTCCCCAGATTCATAAAATGGGTCATATCACCTGAACATGCTGGTACATCTTTGCAGGGATAAAGCTGCTCAGAGAGACAATGAGGAAGAAACTGCAGATGATCCTCGAAAACTGAAACCAGGAGAAATTGATCCAAATCCAGAAACCAAACCAGCCCGGCCAGATCCTATTGATATGGATGAAGGTAAATTAAGAATATGTTACATGTATCCGTATTTTTTAACAGTTCAGTCTCTTGCAGTTCCTTTGGCCTTTGTTTGATCATCCTGCCTCTTCTGTTCTCTCTGTTTTTTCAGGCTCCTATCTCTGTTCCTCATACAGTCTTTATCTTGTATTCTGCCTCAGGTCCTCTGTTTCACTCTCGTCTTTCAGGTTTCCTCTTTCTTTTCTTCAGTTTCATGGAATCTTAGAGTATCAGGGTTGGAAGGGACCTCAGGAGATCATCTAGTCCAACCCCCTGATCAAAGCAGGACCAATCCCCAATTTTTGCCCCAGATCCCTAAATGGCCCCCTCAAGGATTGAACTCACAACCCTGGGTTTAGCAGGCCAATGCTCAAACCACTGAGCTATCCCTCCCCCCAATTTCATATGGTCGCCTTCCTCCTTTGGATCTGCTCCCCTCCTTCTCTTCTGTCTCTTTATCACCTGTTTCCTTGGATGGTGTTTTTTTTTATTTCACTGCCTGGCTTTCTACTATTTACTGCCCTTCCACTGGTAATGCTCCTCTCTGTGTCTTCACACCAGATAATGTCTCCTAGATGAATCATTACTGAAATGTACCAGTAAAAATTCTTCTGTGTGTTACACCAGTAATATTTGAGACTAACTGTTAGGAGGGGTAGGAGTCCATGAAGGTGCCCCGGGTGAAGATTGAATAAGGACTGTTCTTGAATAGTAATAGTTTCTCAAGTGTCATGTTCCTGTCATCATAATAATAGGTCAGTCATCATTATTGTGTAGGCCTAAATATAAATTAAATTGTTTTCTATTATTGTGCTCAATCTCCCTTTTACTAGGAATATTCTGATTTCAGTTTAAACAGCATCGTACATCAGTGAAATATTGCCAACATTATGAATGTTCTTGTGATCTGTTTGGTTCATCTGGTTGGTGGCTTGATCTCTTGTGTTCATCTGGTTGTTTGTGCTCGTTGTAAAGAGAGAATGTAGAGGGCATGGGGAATCCATGCTGGCACACCGATCCTGGCAGCTTTCTAAAGGTTTTCTTCTGATCTTAATATTAACCCCCAGCTCCCCAATATAATGTGAAAAATTGGTAATCTTCTTTCTCTATACTTTTTTGCAGATGAACTTGAAATGCTATCTGAAGCTAGAGCACGTCTGGCTAATACTCAGGGAAAGAAGGCCAAGAGAAAAGCAAGAGAGAAGCAGCTGGAAGAAGCTAGGTAGACACACCCCATCCCTTCCACTTGTCTGCTCTGTTGTCTCTTAAGTTTTTAGTTTCTCCCTCTGTCCCTTTCACATGGAATCCCTTTCCTGAACCCATCTGTGAAGCCACTGCTCTCTCCTCTTTCAGCTTCTCTTCAAGACCCATCTCTACTGAGATGCCAAAAAGAAATGAGCAAGCTGATGATGCTTGAAAGAAAGATGCGATTAGTTGCCACTTTATCTAGTTAGAGTGATTAGTTGCTTTATCTAGTTAGAGTGATTTTAAAAAATAATGATTTGCAAATGTGTATATAACAGCAGGATACGGTGTACCCTTCTCCCCTATCCTTCATATGCTGCTCGTCTTCTTGGGCCCCACTCCTGTAAAGACTTGCGTGTGCTTACACTGATGCAATAGAATTACTCAGATTGACTTCACTGGGACTACATGCAATGTACAAATTAAAGCACTTACTTAAGTCTTTGCAGGATCAGGGGTTTAGATTGTAATCTTTTCAGGGCATCAGGGGCTGTGTCATCGTATCTTTGGATGTGTTTGCACAGCACCTAGCATAATGAGTCTGCAGCCTGACTGGGGCATCTGGGTGCTCCTGGAATATAAACATTTAATAATGTCAGTGCTGTTATGGTCCATCACATTTTATAAATAATATCTCATCCCTAAGTAATATCTGATGTTAGCAGGTGACTGTTGTACAGGAGGCATTAACTTTGAATTAAGTAGCATTTTCTGTGTTTCCTCAGACGTCTTGCTGCTCTCCAGAAGAGGAGGGAACTTAGAGCTGCGGGGATAGAGATCCAGAAGAAAAGGAAAAAGAAGAGAGGAGTGGATTACAATGCAGAAATCCCATTTGAAAAGAAGCCTGCTCCTGGCTTTTATGATACATTGGAGGAAAACTACCAGGCACTGGATGCGGACTTCAGGAAGCTACGTCAGCAAGACCTGGATGGAGAATTAAGATCGTAAGTTTGTTTTAAATTTTGTGAGTAATTTTTAGTGCTCATGTAACAGAGGCCTGGTATGGACAAGTGTGTTCCTCACTGGGCATATGCCAGTGCACCTTGATTCTGACTTGCAGGCCGCTTCTCTTCAGTTCTAGGTCTCTTATGATTACTTGTCTTGGTGAATTTTGTGTCAGTTTAATAATGTGGAAAAATGTTGACTGGACCCAAGAATGAGGCTCCCGAACTCCTTTTTTGCTCTTTTGAACCTAAGAATTTCAAGACTTTAAGGAATTTAAACCATTGCATCACCAACTCTGTCATATTTTTACATCAGTAAGATAATTGCATTTTAGTTTTCATCAGAGGAATGATGATTTTTCTTCCTACAAAACATGGCTTTATTAAATTGCTTGTAAGAGCAGCTCTGACATGTCGTGGCAATACTTCATTTGTTTGTTTTATTGCCATTTTGCCACATGTGATTATATTATTATTAGAATCAGCTCAAGTCCTTTTTTATTTATTTAACAAAATTGTCTCTGAAAATGTTTGCTGGAGCAGCGACAAACGTTGTCAAATGGAACAGCAGAGCTAGCCAGCATGCTGTTGTTTGTACTTCCACAATTCACTTCCAGTTACTTCTGCCAACTGTTCCCTGTTGAGTGAGCAGATCCAACAATCCGTCCAACTTGATTTACTAGCTCTAATCTAATTAATTTTTCTTTTAATATTTCCTAGTTTAGGCAATCCATTGTATACAGCATAAATAGCAGACAGCTGTGAATTACAGAGCTGCAATTCCAGCAAGAGCGTCATGTGATTGTGAACCATGAGAAGGAAACTCAAGTGGCTTCACCAGAAACTCTTGTTGGAATTATAGCCCTTAATTCCAGTGTTGTTGTTTAAAAAAGTGTGTGTAATATACAGATTCAAACCTGGCTCCATGCTCTACTAACTCTTCCTCCAACTTTCCTTGCAAGAGTTCATGTGCTGCTTCTTTTACTATTCCTTCAAGGGCAGAGCCTTGTTTCCTAAGCTCCCATCGCTCCCTGGCTTCCTCCTACCACTTGTTGGAGGAAGGACAGCTCCTGCTTGCTTACACTTGGGGCTTCTTAGCATTTTTCAGTGCTCCTCCCTCTTCCTGCAGTCACTGGCATGCTGGCGAGCACCAATGGATGTCTACTAACTGCAGCCGAAGTAGCAAGCTGTTTCCTAAATCCCATTATTTACAGATGTGACATTCCTTTTCTTATTGCATGGTTTTCAATCCATGTATTATCAATTGACTTCTGATCCACAAAGCTGCTACCTCTTCCTGAAATATGTTTTGTTACAGCATATCCCACCTTCACCAGCTAGAGCAAAGGATTTTCTGTCTCTCTCTGAATTGCCAGTTTTGCTTTGCTGATCAGTTCTGAGAGTTTTAAATGACTTTCTTGTCCATTGTGGCAGGGAGAAGGAAGGAAGAGAGCGCAAAAAAGACAAACAGCATATGAAACGGAAGAAAGAATCTGACTTGCCTTCAGCTATTCTTCAGACCAGTGGAGTGTCAGAGTTTACTAAAAAAAGAAGCAAACTAGTGCTTCCAGCACCTCAGGTAAATTGTCGATCAGAGGCAAACTGTTACCATCTGTCTGATGTTTGGTGGCCTGTGTGAAATGAGTCGAATGGTCACAGTTCTGTACCTAGCATACCACAATTGTTGCAGAGACCAAGGTTCAAACGGGCATAGAGGTGCTTTTCCTAGGTTAGAGGTGACATACGTTGGCAGCACTGCACTGCCATTGCACGTACCGTACCTTTCGACCTCTCAGTCTCGCACCTTTTTATCGTCATACATGGCAGACAGGTTGTTTATTTTTTAAAATGCATTGAATAAGCAACTAGCCAGTGCATTAAGTAGGAGTAGAGTATCTGTTTGAGCTGGGTGAGAGGAGAGTATTCTTAAAATGTTACCTTTTTCCTTTGGTATGTAATTCTTGATACCTGCAAGTATGAACTTTATTCTCCCAAATGTAACTCGTTGTTTGATACTGGTTTCCTTTGAAAGATTTCAGATACAGAACTCGAGGAAGTAGTGAAAGTAGGCCAGGCGAGCGAGATTGCACGTCAAACAGCTGAAGAATCTGGAATTACTAACTCTGCTTCCAGCACCCTTTTGTCTGAATACAATGTCACCAACAACAGCATTGCCCTTAGAACGCCCAAAACTCCAGCGGCACAGGACAGGATCCTGCAGGTAAAGTATAAATGTATAGAGCAAGTTCTATGTTATACTAGAGTGAGGGTACTCAGACTTTGTCATAGCAAGCCTCCCTAAGCGAAGGAAAAAAAGTTATGCCACTCCATAGTTTAGTAAGACAACACAAAGAGGTGAAAATCCTATAGCTTATAAGAATACAAGTAATAAAGTAGAAGGGTTTTGATCAATATAGTCATAATAAGAGTCTGAGTATCAAAAGGAGTAATTTGATTTCCTAGAGCACCTTTCGTGTTATCTCACAGTTCTGCTCAAAAAGAGTATAAATCATAGCAGCTAAAATAAAACTTGCAAATATTTTAGGGAATTTTAACACCCATTGACACTGCGACACCCCCTACCACGACCTGAGGGGCCCTGGAATGAAGAGAGCAGGGCTAATAGGTGCTAGGGTCGCAGGCAGAGAGAATGGGTACCTCTTTTAGTGCGAGCAGGGGCAGTGTAGGCCGTGGGTAGGGGGCCTTGCTGCCTGGGGCAAATCTTGGCACTCCTAGGTCCACCAGTACCATGAGCACTGTGGAGATCTGCTGCTGCAGGAAGTCAAGGGTGCTGAGCCAGTAGCTGGGACTGAGGCTGGGGCCAAGGTGGTGCTGCTGTCAGCTGAGACCAACGGGTTACTCTCCAGCTGCATCAGTGCTGTGTGGGAGGCAGTATGTCACCCAAGGCAGGAACCCTGTGGGGCCCCCGCTTCTCCCAGGAACTGACCCAACCAGCCATCCATTCCTGTATCATCTCCCCCCAAGTGATTAGGTACTTCAGCGTGGGGTGGAAGTGACCATCTGCCTCAAACCTGACATATAAGGCACTTTTGGAGGCAAGATACTAGAATAGAGGGATTATCATTGTGTTGTAGTTACAGTTCTTGTGTGACTCTGTTTAGTCCACTGTGTTAACCTTTAGGGTTGTCTGATTTCTTTAAGACAAAAGGACAAAATCTTTGTGAGAAGAAAATGTTCTTGACTCATTTCAGGCATATACCCAGATTTTCAAAAGTGACTAAGGCCTGGTCTACCCTACGAAGTTAAGTCGACCTAACTACATCGCATTGGACTGTGAAAAATCTCACCCCCTGTGCAACATAATTAGGCTGAACTAAGCCTGGTGTAGACACTTCTAGGTCAATGGGAGAATTCTTCCTTCAACATAACTACTGCCTCTTGGAGAAGTGAATTTATTACATCTAGACATGGCCTTATGGTCTTGATAATTTTTGGATGAACTTGGACACCTTAAAAGACCCTGATTTTTCAGAGCGCGGGAGAACAGCACTTTCTGAAAATCAGAGCCTTTAAAGTGTCTTTAATTACATGTTAGAGATCACTGATCACTTTTGAAAATCTTAGCGGTGGTATCTACCCAGATTGAAGGAAACTGAAATATTAAGCAACTCCCTCATTGTAGCAACTAAGGAAGATTAAAATACTCAGCTCTGTTGTAAGACATGTAAGTAGCCAGTGTGTTCTTCTTAAAATTAGGAAATTTTTAACAACTTCAACAAAATACTTTGACATTTAAATGACTATTCAGCATTCATACCTATTTTTTAACACTAGGTCTATTAAACTTGCACAACAGAGGTTGATTTTGGAAATCCTGGTAACGTGCTCTGTATATTGTCTGTCACACAGGAAGCCCAGAACTTGATGGCTTTGACGAACGTAGACACCCCCCTGAAAGGTGGTCTTAATACCCCCCTCCATGAGAGTGACTTCTCTGGAGTGACACCCCAGAGACAAGTTGTTCAGACTCCGAATACAGTGCTTTCCACACCCTTCAGGTAAAGCAAACTATTCAGAGATGGTGGGATGAGTGGAAGTTCTTAACATATTTTAAATAACAGGATTTGATTATTGACCTACAGCAAATGCTAGTTTGATTTTTTAGCCCTTATTATACCACTTTCTTTTTCTTCTTATCATCTTTGTCAAGTTGAGCCTCACATCTTTTAGTACAGTGTCTAGCACAATGTGGTACTGGTCCATGACTAGGGCTCCTGGCTGCTATGGCAATACAAATTAACTGGTATATTTAAAATGGACAGTGGCATTCTATGTAATATCTGATCCTAACGTTTCCAAAGTATTGCATCTGAGTGTCAGCTGTTGAGAGACACTTGATTAAAACTTCTGTGAACCTTTGAAAAGCCGAGGTGAATATTTTATAGGCCATGTTTATGTGTTTGTGTATGTATGTAATATAATTCTTGTACAGCCAATCCAAACATTGTGGAATTGTTAGTTTGACTCTTACAGTAGGTCCCAAATAAACATATATCCCACAAATGCCATATTCCGTAGAACTGGAAAATTCCATAGACTCAGTATATTTTGTGGCTGAAGTTTTTCAACTCAAGTTTTAATTTTACTTCTGTTCATCGTACTTGAGGAAGCAGAGGCAAATGAAGTACATAGGTATTCTTGTGGCAACTTTTCAAAAATAACCTCAGTCTGTTCCCTAAAATTTTTTATCCAGAAGCCACAATTGGATCCACTCAAGCAGGTCTTTATTTTATGCAGAGTTCTGTTGAAGTCAGCGCAGCTTAACACAAGTGCAAAGGTCAGCCTGTGCTGATCCAGTTGCCGGCGTGTGTGTGTGTGTAATCTAATTTTGCGTTCAAGTTTTTCATTCACTGAAGATCAGATCTGCACATGCAAATAGGGTTGTTTTCTAGCCACCTAACTTTCATGCATTGTGGGTGTTCACATCCAAAATCTTGGATGGAAAATGTGGGCTTGTTATGTTAGAAACAGTATTCTACGTCTTTTTTGTTTAAAAGAAGCAATATAACAAAGCAGAACCTTCATGTTAACAGTTTTAAGATGGGTTAGATGTTATTATTATTTATTCTCTCAACAGAGCAAGTTTAAACATCTAAGAGCCCTTTTAACTGAAATGTTTCCTGTACTTCAGTGTTACTCTGTGGTAATCTGTGAAATTTGTAACATTTTGTTGTGACTAACCCATGCAGAATACATGGGGGCTTTAGTTGTAACAATACTTTGAAAAATCTAAGTTAAAAAATATGTTACTTTAATAAATTCAAGCCTGTAACAATTTTTTTGGCACCCATGGAAAGCTGTGTTTTTCATCTATGCAACCAGAACAAAGCTTTCTCTGGGCTAAATAAAATCAATAGGCTAAGTTAAATGGGCTTTGCCATTCTGACATGTGAAGTGTTTTAAGAAATCCCTATCCTTTCAAGCCAAAGAGAACTGCAGTATCTTTCTAAATACATTTATGCAAGGCTATAGCATTTTTAACGTTGCATCTTAAATATGGTGCTTTGGATCAGTAATAGATTTTCTCTGTGTGTGCATGCGCATTCTCCATTATTGTTTGTTCTATGAAAGAAACCGCTTTTATTAAGCTATCATCACAGATTGTGTGTCTTACAAAAAGTTCTGAAAAGTGGCTCAGTTTAGCTGTATCTTACTATGCAAAAAAGCATTCAAACTCTTTCAGAGCTGATGCCCTTTGATTAAAAGTTCAAATGTGCCTTTACTTAACTCTATAGGACTCCATCTCATGGAGCAGAAGGTTTGACACCTCGTGGTGGAATAACTCCTAAACCAGTGGTTGGAGCAACTCCAGGTAGGACTCCCCTGCGAGATAAATTGAACATCAATCCAGAAGAGGGAATGGCAGATTACAATGATCCGTCTTATGCAAAACAGCTGGTAAGTAGTACGTGTGAGGAAGAGAAGAATGTTCTATTAACTTCCTGGGATTTGAAATTCATGTTGATCTCCTGTACAGAATTTGTATTACCAGTTACATATAAATATTCATGACCTAATAAAATTACATCTCTGCATTTTCATCACATCAAGAATACACTTTAAAAGCAAAAATCTCACCACACATGAAAAAGAAAAACAGCTTTGAATATGCCCAGTCAAAGAGCTCCAACGCTCCACCACATAAAGACATTTGGCTATAACTAGACCTCAGTCCCACTTGTGTCTTTGAAGTGGAACAGGAAATACTTAGTCCCAAGAAAAGATTCGTTTATCCTATAATCCCATTCCACCCTCAAATCCCTCATATTTTGGCCGCCAATTCTAGGTACAGGACTTTCTCATCAGTGTACCCCGTTGACAAAATTGAAGTAGAGCGGTTTTAAGGTTTACCCATTAAGAGCTGTAGCCCTTGAGATGCCCAGTAATGTAGCAATCTGGTCCAGATTCTTTCATCACCTTTGTCAACAGATGTTTCCATTCCTGGCTATTCTGCCAGCTGAATCTTGCCAAATAGATGTGGTGTAAGAGGGCACAGAATTACATAGGAATTGCCTTGGGAGCTCCTTTTATGTGGCAAATTCTGCAGCCTGTACTGTGGTTTTGGATATCTCCCACTATAGGCACCGGTGTTTCTCTTTGGGCTAACAAAGGATTTCCAGTCCAAAGTGCTTGGCATGTTCTTTTGAAGGAAATAGCTCTTGTAGTCCAGAATCTGAAGTTTTCTCTTCGCTTAAAGGACTAAGTCTATTTGGAGGTCTTTGCAAGTGTCTCAGTGCCATCTCGTCCTTTTCAAGGGTAAGCTTGGCTCTTGACTTCGGAAGTTCAGCAAGAGACTTCAGATTCCGAAGGTTTCCAGAGATGCTTGTGCTTTTGCCATTACCCTACTGGCATAATTGCCATATCTATAAGCCACTGCATTGCAATTCTAGATCAGTGATATCTGAAGAGAAATGTTCCCGTTAGACAACTCTCCACAGATAGCCCTATATCCAGGCTGTGCAACAACTCGCTATATGAGTAACTTCGTAAAGTGCCTGTCATCTTGAACTTCTAGTGTCATGTTGAAACTGACAGTGAGAAAAGAGGAGCCACTCCTGTGCTATACTCCTACACTAAATAGCTGTTTCTCTGGATCCCTTTCCTTGCACCTTTCACAAGCTGTTTTCAGGGAAGCTGCACATCTTCCTTCCACAGGCCTCAGGAGACTATTCGTAGAGCATGAATTCTGGAGTCATTGTCTTTTGTATAATGTGGATTAATAACCTTCATCTTTCATTTGTTAAACTTGCTTTTAAGTTTTTACTTACATTTTCTGTTAAGTTGACTGCATAGCTAGCTAAAATCACCAGATGAAATCTGTGTACTTTTTCTCTGTATTTATTAGTACCCAAGGAAAATGAAAATCTACCAAATAATATAAATGTCTGTGCATTCAGAATGATTAAAACTTGATTTACTTTCAACAGGAAAGAGAGTCTCGTGAGCATCTGCGTCTAGGGCTTATGGGTCTTCCTGCCCCAAAGAATGACTTTGAGATTGTTTTACCGGAAAATGCAGAGAAGGAACTTGAGGAACATGAAACAGATGATACCTATATAGAAGATGCTGCTGATGTGGATGCTCGCAAACAGGTGGGAGTACATTGTGAAATCAGTAAAAGTTCTCTACTCTGTATGTTATTTCCTGTAGCTCAAGATACATACTTAATTAAAGCAATGGGTTATATGAGGAAAATTAGAAAAAACGTACATGTTACCTGCGTTAGGGTAACATTAGAATATTTAAAGGAACACACTCAAGTTAAAAATCACACTTCTGTTGAAAATTTTTTTAATTTACTAGTATCGTAAGTCACACCTAATCTTAACACAAGGAAAGAGATAATAAATATAAATTTTTCCTGAAATATTTTTTTTCCTAGTCACAGTTTTAGGTCCCGATTCTGTAAAGACTTAAATGTGCTTAACTTTATGCACATTAATTAAATTAAAAACTGTCTATTCAGGTTTTCTTCCAGAATCTAATATGGTAACCACAGAATATCACATGTGAAATATAGTAAGGATGTGCGCCTTTATTGGGCACCTTGTTTTTTGCTTTTTCTAAGCTCTTTGGAGTATTAATTTTAGGAACATAATTAGAAATTTACTTTCAGTGTGTACCTTTAAAACAATATTTTAATAATTCTCTTTGCCCTTCACTATATGTTGGCAAGTGAACAAAAGATGGAAATGAAGCCTGAATCTTTATTCATGTGTGACGAACGTTTTCCATGTTTGTTAATGCTAGGCTGTCCCACTGAAATCAAGTATATACAATTCATATTCCATTCCATAAGGTCCTATAGCCTATTAATATTACATGCTATGCACTCCTCCTTTATGTAGAAATGATCACAAGGAAATGAGGATTGCTATTCAAAATATAGTTGGGTGCAAAATTCCCACTTGCCTACTGCTTTACAACTTCAAAGAGCTACACAAGTAACAGTCAGGAGTCTGGTGGCACCTTAAAGACTAACAGATTTATTTGGGCATAAGCTTTTGTGGGTAAAACACCACTTCCTCAGATGCATGGCGTGAAAATTACAGATGCAGGCATTATATAATGACACATGAAGGGAAGGGAGTTACCTCGCAAGTGGAGAACCAGTGTTGACAGGGCCAATTCGGTCAGGCTGGATGTGGTCCACTCCCAGTAATAGATGAGAAGGTGTCAATTCCGGGAGAGGCAGAGCTGCTTTAGTCCCTGTGCAAGCCCAAATTAATGGTGTTAAATTTGCAAATGAATTTTAGTTCTGCTGTTTCTGTTAGTCTTTAAGGTGCCACCAGACTCCTTGTTGTTTTTGTGGATACAGACTAACACAGCTACCCCCGATACTTGACACAAGTAACAGTCACAACTCTCCGTGAGAAGCAGGTGTTCAGATACAGTGGTGGTGAATGTGGTGTAAATGCTGGGATAAATAGCAGTATGTTCATTTTGTAGGTGAGGAAAACAGGGTCCGGGGTCAGGGGCACTGCCCAAGACCTGGTGCTTGGAGGGATTGTGCTTTTAAAGAAACAATACTTCTATTGGCATTGGAGGGAAGGTGCTCGGAGGAGACGGCTCTTATACTTTTGGAAAGGTGTAGCTAGTGCTTTTCGCCTGCATGCATACACCCCCCTCTTCTGGCTAGTGTTTGGAGGAGAAGGGGACATTATTATTCAATAATAATGAATAAATGGCCATTGGTCCCTAAGGCAGCAGACAAGGCCTGCTATCCTCCTCAACCCTTCTAGTATCCTGCAGCCACCTGCGCAAGTACATTGGGCAAAGTCACTTTGTTATCTTTTGTTCCTCTTGCACATCCATGTGGGGCCAGCTGGTGTCCTGTTTTAAGAGGCAAGGTAGTGGCAGAGCTGGGATTAAAATTTAGGAGATCCTGGCTACCAATCCTGAGTTTTTAGGCAGTGCTACCTCTCCATTTTATTTGTACCCTGTGTGTTGGAAAGTGTGAGAATCCCCTTATTATTTTCTTAAACTTCCATTATTGTAATTCAAGTGGAGGCTCAGTCCCCTGATTTAATAGAAGGGAGAAGTGGGGGCCTGCCAGTAGAATGAAAGGAAGTGGTAAGGAGCCTAGTCTGGATGAGCCAGGACCACATGGGATTGTGGAGCAGGTGTCTCATGAGGTTGAAACCAAAGGGCAGGAGGAATTTCTAAAGAACAAAGAGTATGGAAAAGGATGACCTCATGGGAGAATATTACGGTTGGGGTATCTTCTCTGAGGGCCTGATCCAAAGTCCAGGAAAGCCAATGAGAATCTTTCCACTGAATTCTGTGAGCTTTGGCTGAGGCCCGAAGTTCTGTCTAGTACAGTGGATCGGAGGTAAGCTGTCAGTTGGCCATAATAGCTCTCCTCCATTCTCTTACAGTCTCTTGCTGTAGCCTTTATTCCTATAAAAAAAACCGCAACTAATAATACCACCTCTACTGCAGTAGTCTAGTGGCATTCATCTTTCCTGTATTATTGGGAAGCATCAGACTGTATTGTGGTGGTTGGACTAACATTTGAAATATCTGTTTAGGCTATTAGAGATGCAGAGCGTGTAAAGGAGCTAAAGCGGATGCACAAAGCTGTTCAGAAGGATCTGCCAAGGCCCGCAGAAGTAAGTAAGAGAAGTTTCTTAATGATGGTGTAAGATCAAAATGGCATTTAAAGGAAAAATTGGAAAAAAGGAGACATTTATAATAGTTGTTTGGCTCGCTTTTAAACAATAGCTACTGTGAGGCATAATACAACTAAGCTGGATCATGAAAGAATAAAATCATTCCTTCAGTATGCTAATTTCATCATCTTGTGGCCAATTTCTGCCTTCATGTGGATATAATCAGTGGGTGTTACATACGCGTAACTGAAAACAAAATTTGGTTTTTAGATTATTGTGCTGGTACAAAGTTCTTTAATCATCTGTTACATACAGCTCAGTTTTAAATACCAATATTATAGTGTGTGCATTATACAAATATATTTTGGCTAACATGACAATAATGCATAATGTTTCTGAACATATTTTATTTCTGGCTAGGTAAATGAAACGATTCTGAGACCTTTGAATGTAGAGCCTCCTCTAACAGACTTGCAGAAAAGTGAAGAGCTAATAAAGAAAGAGATGATCACCATGCTTCATTTTGATCTTCTGCATCACCCATATGGAGAGCAGCCTGGGGGTAAAAAGGGGAAAGGCCCAGGATTTGGAACGAACAGTGCGGAGCATATTACGTACCTCGAACAAAATTCTTATGAGAAGCACTCCAAAGAGGAACTCAAGAAGGTAAGAGTCTTTCCATTGAAAGTGTGTGTCACAGGATTACTGACATATGTGCTTCAGATCCTTGTCATCTTGCAAGGAAAACAAGCTCAAGCCTGGATTAAATTTAGTGGGAGACCTCCAAGCAGCATGTAGGTGCTGCAGGAGATGTTACTGATGATGCAGTGGGTGGCACTCTCCCCTGGGGGTTATAACTGAGCCAGTGCTCCAGCATGGTGTTGGGAGGCAGTGTGCGGTTGATGGTGCTGACCTTGGGATGTAACGTAGAACTGTGGTCCTCATCACCTGTCTGTTAGTAAGAGTAGGAGCTCTATAGCCACTCCTGTTGCCAAATTACATCTTGATAACAGTCCATTCCATGAAATTAAATGACGCCAAAGTTTGAATTGGATCTGATATTATTCACTTCCCATCTGCTACTGGCTGTGTAGTGTTCCTGTGCGCTGTCAAATAACTGTTTCTTTTTGTCACTGCTGAGGTGGAAGCAAATCTATGTATTATAATAATAATAATAATACGTAACTCTCTATATGACACTTTACATATTCAAAGCACTGTACAGGCATGAACTAAAGCTCACAAAATTCCTGAGAGTATTACCCATTTTGCACACCGGAAGACCTGAGACTGAAAGATGAAGTGAATTTCCCAAGCCGTGCAGTGAGTCAGTGGCAGAGCCAGGATTAGAATTTGGAGCCTTCTGACTCATGCAGACCTCACCGTCTTCCAGTATCCATTGCCTATGTCACAGGGTGTTTAGTTTGTTTTGTAACATTTGGAAAGTGCTTAGAGATCCTCATGTGAAAGATGCTATAGAAGGGTGAACTATCATGTGGAAAATAATAATAAAGCATTTTCGATCCCCTTTCCCATCTAGTCATTCAGCTTCTAAATAGACTCTAGCTGTAGCCAGCTATAGGCCTACAGCATTTGATTTATCCATTGCCAAGTCTGCTGCTCTACATCAATATGATCCTCAGTTATAGCAACTGAACTTAAACCATAGCTGGCTGGACATGGCTATGAAGGCAGAATTGGCTACAAATGGAACAAAGCAGCAGGCCTCAGAGCTCCATTCTCACTTGCATTGTATGCCCAAAGTGATATATCAAGATCTCTGGTTCTGGGAGTTCATTTATTAAGTACCTACAGATGTTTCACTTCACAGCCAAGTGACTGACAGGTTAGAAGTAAAGCAGTGGAGTTAGCTCCTTGAGGGGGTCTCCACTGTGAATGTGTCAGTAACTTTTAACAAAGGTTATATTTACATTAGCACTTCTGTCAGTAAAACTTATGTCACTCAGGGCTGTGGAAAAAACACACCCCTGACCGACATAAGTTACACCGACAGAAGCAATGGTGTGGCCAGCACTATGTTGGTGGGAGACACTCTCCCAGCGACATAACTACTGCCACTTGTTGGGGGTAGTTTAATTATGCTGCTTTCTCCCATCAGTATAGAGCAGCTACACAGGAGACCTTACAGCCCAAAAGTTTATGGCAATCAAAATGGATGAAAAGGACAACCGCTGTACTACTGTGTATAAGCCTTGTTCATTGGTAGATTCTGTACAAAATCTGTCTAGATTCTTAGACTGTGCCCATCACTGTGGTATTTTAGCACCTAGATCCCTGGTTACTTGGAAACATCTTTAAAGATGTATAAATGTGAAATATCTTTCCCTGCCCATATCTGACCCATCATTCAAGAGCTATACTTTGTCCAACTCCAACAATGCTGAACAGAATGTACTTCCAATTTGTTATTAAATTAAAAATTACACTTGAAGATTTCTTCTTAGTAGAAATTAAGTAGATGCAAAATATAGTTAGATCACATACTTTGCCACTCTGCCAATATCAGTTTGTTTCCTAGGCTACATTATCTTAGCGCTTTGTCCAGAATTTTTTTAAGTGTAACAAGAGTTGGGGCTGCTATCACTTCCCTTAGAGAATATTCCACAATTTAATAGAGCTCCTGGTCTGGAAATTTTCCATATATTCACTAGACATTTTCTTAACTTTAGACAGAATTTGTTTCCCATTCTGTCTGGCTTAATCTCTCTGCACATGTGAGTAGTATCCTCTATACATCCAAATTGCACTTTCACATGGAGGTATGGTGGACAGTAAGAATGGTCCCTTGTGAGGTGGTGATAGCTTTTCTGATTTTTTTTTTCCACTTCCTCCTCCAGAAGGTACCGCATTTCTTCAGTGATTGCCCTTCCGTGGAAAGGGCTACTAATGATACTCACCGTGATACCTGAGCTAATAAAGCTGTGAAAGCCAAGTAGCTTTCACAGCCACATAGGCTAATTCTTCAAAGGCAGAAAATTGATACTAGCAAAAACATTACCCTTTGTGGGATTTAGCTATATTAATAACACTAGGGCTACTCCTTTTCTTTCTTTCTGAGCTACGGCCTTGTGTGGTTAATTAGCTATTCGTTAGATTCACCAGATAAGATGATTTCAGAGTACCCAAGTAGCCTTCTTGATGGTGTGTTGCTATAAAGTATAGTTGAAGTTCAGTGATTTATCTAGTGAATCACTACATTTGAAAACTCAGAGTTTGCCTTTTACATTTGTGTAATATTGTAAGAAAAAAGGTGTAGTTATGACTCTGTCAATAGTATGTGTCACATGGCAGTTTTTGTTTCCCTTATGTGTTTGTTATGTATACCAGACCTGATGCTAATGCCAGCAGTCGGTTTCACCACGCCGTTACACCAGCTTTCTGTCAGTGTAAATACATTTGAAGTTGAAGGAGTTACACTGGTATAACAGATCAACGAATTGAGCTCCAGATCTTTGATAGCCTTGGAGCCTTAGAGTTCTGTCTTTTATGCAGGGGGTTCCTGTCCCACAGTAAATGCCATCAGATTATGTTGAGTTACGTGTTGAGAGCTTTTCCTGAAGCTGGAGTGCTGGAGCTCTGGATTTCTTACTTTTTTCGTAATGTTCTGTTTTAATATTTACTTTGAAATAGGCCAAGATTTTCAAAAATGACTAGTGAGTTTAGTGCCTCATTTTGTCATGTCCAACTTGATATGCCTTAAAGGGGTCTAATTGTCAGAAGACAGGTACTTGGCACTTTCTGAAAATCAGGCCCTTGTAAGATGTGTCAAGGTGCACACCACAGAATTAAAGTACCCCAGTTTACTAGTCACTCTTGAAAACCTTGGCAGTAATCTTTATTTCTCAAACTTCATGTTGTCACAAGAACAGTCGCACCACTCTGTGGGTGTGAGAGGAGCTCTTGAAATCTACTTGTCAGTTTGATCTTAATGTCTAAATGACTCTTGTTGGTGTCATTTCAACAGACTGGGACTTGTGCCATAGGTCTCTTTTGGAGGCATACGCGCTCCAGATGGATTTTCTCATGTTTTTGATTGTGGGGGAGCAGCGTGAGTCCTTTCCTCTTCTCAGTTCCTTCCTCATTGTTAAGATGCTTCATAAACTGGATTGGAAATGGTAGAACATTCAGATCCTTCTATAAGATCAAGCTGTATCTTCTTCAGCTGAAATCAAAGTAGTCTTTCTTGCATTGTAGCCCATATTGTATGGAGCACAGATCATCCGTTCCTGCTGGAATAGATTTTCTAAGCTGTGCTAAGGAGAGCAAGTAAAAGAAACTAGAAAGTGATGGTATTTTACATTCCTTAGGCATGTGCTGAAGCAGCTGTTCTTTCTCCCTCTCTTAAGATATTTACTTTTAACTCCCCCCCCCCCCCAGCCCGTTGCATCAGTGCTAGACACCTCAACCTGTCTCTGCTTTATTAGGTACCTCAGATTGTTGGGTTTGGTCAAATTATGTGAAATGAGGAATAGCTGCAGCATAAGTAGCCCCATTGCCTAGGTTTCATTTATAATTTAATGCATTTGTGTTGAATTTCAAATTTAGCTTAACCTAAAGTGGCCTTTTTGTATGGAGAGAGAAATTACCCCTGAAAATTGCACTCTAAAGGATTGAAAACAACAAGAGGAGTTTTCTCATTGTCTGTACTTTGTGATTGTAATTTCTCATAATTTTCAACAGGCCCAGGATCTACTGGCACAAGAGATGGAAGTGGTAAAGCAAGGAATGGGGCATGGAGAGCTCTCAAGTGAGGCTTATAACCAGGTGTGGGAAGAATGTTATAGCCAGGTGTTATACCTACCAGGACAGAACCGCTACACACGAGCTAACTTGGCCAGCAAAAAAGACAGAATAGAATCACTTGAAAAAAGGCTTGAGGTGAGTATCATTTTTCTGCTTTTTCACTTGATTTTTTTTTAATGCCAGCTTTCATTGTTTTGACTGATTTACAGATGACTAGATCATTGATTCAGCTATCACAGATGGGATTGCAGGGAAAAGAGCATCAAGGAGCTCTCCTGGAGCATCAAAAGATGCTCTGCTGTCCTCGTTTCTCCCCTAATAGTAGGGGATGGATTTATAAAACCTCCTGCTTCAGGTTCACTTCCACAAGTTTTTTTAGCATTAACTATTATAAGCCTGGTTATTCTCTTGTTATCCCTATAAACATCCAGTCGCTCTTTGAGGCCAAGAGCTTCACAAGATTCAGTGACAGCCTGGGGCAATGAGTGCCTGTGACCCAGAAATGGAGGGAAGAGTGTGGATCCCAATGACTCCAGTCCATTTAAACAGAAAACGTCAGACTTTTTTATGCATGTTGGGTCCTCTGGACCTGGTATGTAGGTTAGGTTTTATGTGCAAGTGTAAAATAAAAATAAAACACCTCTTCAGCAAGTTCAGCATAAAAGAAAGGAGAGAGAGAGAAAAAAACAGTTCATTGAAAATAATTTGATTGGATTTCAATATTTCACTGAGATGTCTGCAGCCTGAATATTGCAGCATTGTGCTAGGGCAGGGGTGGGCAAACTTTTTGGCCTGAGGGCCACATCAGGTTTCGGAAATTGTATGGAGGGCTAGTTAAGGGAGGCTGTGCCTCCCCAAACAGCCAGGCATGGCCCGCTACACCCCCCCCACCCCATTTCTCATCCCCGCTACCCTCCTCCCCCCCCCCCGCTTCTCGTCCCCTGTTGCCTCCCCCTCCCCCGGGACTCCTGTCCCATCCAACCCCCCCGTTCCCTGACGGCCCCCCCGTGACACCTGTCCCCTGACCGCCCCTGGAACCTGAACCCCTGAGCGCCCCCCCCGGCTCCCCATCCAACCCCTCCTCTCATTCCTGACTGCCCCCCCCGGGACCCCTGCCCCATCCAACCAGCCCTTCTCCCTGTCCCCTGACTGCTCCCAGAACCCCTGCCCCTGACTGCCCCCTGCTGCCCCATCCAACCCCCCCTACTTCTTGATTGGCCCCCTCATCCCCCCCGGGACTCCTGCCTCATCCAACCAGCCCTTCTCCCTGTCCCCTGGCTGCCCCCCGCTGCCCCATCCAATCCCCCATCCTTCCTGACTGCCCCCCCGGGACTCCTGCCCCCATTTAACCCCCCCCGTACCCCTACCCCCTGACCACCAGCCCCAAACTCCCCTGCCCTCTATCCAATCCCCCCTGCTCCCTGCCCCCTTATCACGCTGCCTGGAGCACCAGTGGCTGGCAGCGCTACGGCCGCGCCGCCAGGCTGGAGCCAGCTGCGCCGCCAGGCTGGAGCCAACCACGCCACTGCATAGCACAGAGCACTGGGTTAGGCCAGGCTCTGCAGCTGCACTGCTTCAGGAGCTTGCAGCCCAGAGCATTGTGCCGGCACAGTGAGCTGAGGCTGCAGGGGAGGAGGAACGGAGGGGGCTAGCCTCCCGGGGCAAGGGCTCAGGGGCTGGGCAGGAGGGTCCCGCGGGCCATAGTTTGCCACCTCTGCGCTAGGGCCTGGGAAGCAGAAAGTGAAACTACTCTTTCTGCAGTTGTCAGAGTTATACAAAGTAGCTTTCTCTGTTGTCATCTCACTCACTTCAGGTACATACAAAATGCTGTAATCACAGGCCCCAATCCAGCAAAACATGTAAGCACAGACTTAACGGTAATCACATAGGGCCAAAATCTTCTTCATTGCCCTCCTGTTAGATTAGATTACTCCCCTCCTTGAATCCCTCCACTGGCTTACTCTTACATTCAGCATCAAATGAAAGCTTCTTGTCCTCTGCTTCAAGGCTGTGCATAACTCCTCTCCCTCTCTCACCTACATGTCTTCTCAACTATTCCTATATCTGTCTCCTTAGCCCATTGATTTTTTTTCTTCTTTTGCCTTCATGCTCTCTCTCCTGCTACTTTGTTCTCTTGCAGGTTCCTTCTTCCCCTGATATGGAAGGCTATAACCTTCCTTTCATTCCATCCCTCTTAATTGCTTTTTTCTATTTAGAGCCGTTAGACAATGACTGTTTCTTCCTCTTTGTTGCTGTACAAACTGATGCATACAAATAATAAGTGCAGAAAGTACACAGCATTGATAGTGTAAAATAAGATTTGCTTAAAATTATTTTGAAAGACTGTGTAGTATCAGTAACACTCAAGGAAACGTGATTTATTACAATTACAATTTTAAGCCTAACGGTGTCCCTTTAAATAATGCAGGCACCCTATTTTCCCATGATAAAAGGAAGATTTCTTTTTTATGTAAATTCTTCATCAGCACATCTATTGTTGCTGGTAGTGAATGCCCTCAAACCACTGGTACCAAGAAAGCAGCATGCAAGGTAGGTCAGAAGGCTGGATTTGAACTTTGCAAGGTTGACTCAGTGAATTTAAGTAAGTGTGCCTTGCGTCTGTGTGTAGTGTGCAAACCAAGAAGCTAATCCCAAGGACAGTTCTGCTTCAGGAAGAGGTAGATGTTTAGGCTGCAAATTGTTCAGCTCCAGGTAACTCTATAATTATCTAGGCCTGGTCTCCACTAAAACATTAGGTCGACCCTGCTACATCGCTCAGGGGTGTGAAAAATCCATGCTTCTGAGCAATGTAGTTAAGCCAGCCTAACCCCCAGTTTAGACAGCACTAGGTCAACTGAAGAATTCTTATTTCAACCTAGCTACCGCCTCTCAGGGAGGTGGATTACCTATGCCGGATGGGAGAATCCCTTCCATTGGCGTAGGTAGTGTCCACACTGAAGCGCTACAGCAGTGCAGCTGAGTTGGGCTGCAGTAGTATTTCAAGTGTGGACAATCCCTCCATTCCCTTCATGTGCCATTAATACAGGAATGCTGGTTATGTTCAGTGTCTTCCAGCAGAGTGCACTGTTGCTCCGCATACTGCTTTATGCTGCGATGCAGTGACAGTAAAGTATATCTTCGGTCAGGAGCACCCAGCCTTTGTGGCGACAAGGGCGTGTTGGCATCTTGCCTGGAACCTGAGGACTCTGTCTAATTTATGTATAAATACACATAATCTTTGGAATTAAAATGAAGTACTACACACACAAAACTACAACTTTAAGGTAAAGTCAAGCACTGAAAAGTTAGGAAGTGCTAGAATGAAGGATGCCTCTTCTAACTTAGTTCGGCCCCCGGTGCCTATGCATGCATTACTATACAGTCTTTAATTACATGATTACTTATTTATTTTTCTGCATGCTCATCAGTGCACACGATGGATGGTGTTCACTTAATGAACAGCCATTCAATATTTTTTCTCCTTGTTGGTCAATGTGTGGCCCCATGCTTTATTTACTACACGCTATTCAAACCCTGCTCTGAAGACAGACTTTCTGTTTTCATCATGGGCTTTTCTGAGGTGCTGTAGTATCTGAGTGCAAAACAAATATTTATTAATTTATGTTCACATATGAGATGTGAACATAAATTAATATGAGATGAGCTATTATTATCCCCATTTTACAAATGGGGGACTGAAGTCTAGAGATTAAGGGCAAAAGTCTCAGCTAATTTTGGGGCCCAGTTTGAAGTGACTAGGACCTGATTTTTATTTTTGAGTACTTAGCATTATATAGCACTTCACATGTTCAAAGTACAGCTCTCATTGCTTCAGTTGCGCTGTGAGTGTTCAGCACTTTGCAAATCAGACCTCAGGGTCTCAAGTCATGCACCCGGAAAATGAGCAACACACAACTAGTGACCGCTTGTGAAAAGTATGATTTAAGTGACAGGACTCTCCCTGTGGCAGAGGCAGGGATAAAATCCAGTTCTCCAGGGCAGCATTCAGCTACCTTAACCATAAGACCATCCTATCGATTCCTGCAATTCTGTCTCATTCCCGATGTTCCTTCTAAATTTTGCAACAACAGATGAGACAGGGGCCCTACCGACAACAGCCTCCTTCACTATGCAACCCTGATTCATCCCCAGAACAGGTCCATCCTGTGCACAGAATGAGGCAGGGTCCTGTGGAAAAAAAATAATATGTGATTATATAATTAAGAACTGTATTATAATGCATACGTACAAGGAGTTGAATTAAGGCACAGGAAACCTTAGTTCCGGCATTTCCTAATTTTTGAGTCTTGACTTTGCAACCTTTTAACATCTTTTTGTGTGTGTAATTTCCTAGTCTTTCAAAAAACAAACAAATAAAAAAAATCCCAAACCCTCAAATTCCATTATGTTGCATTATATTGACCTCTTGATGTGTCGTCCCAGGGTTGGAACCTTTAAATCCAACTCACTGATCTCCATCACTTGTTCCTAGTAACTCATAACAATAGATGGTTTCCTTTATGTGAACCAGCTTTAGAGGGGGATGGGACACTTTGCCAGTGAGTTTCACAGATTATTGGTGAGACTCAGGAAACTTGGGTTCCATTCCAGGTTCTGGAGGGGAGTGTACTCTAGTGGGCACTCACTCTTCCACCCCATCATCTCCAACCCATCCAGGTCTCAGTCCTGTCTTTTTCTCACCCATAACTCCTTTTCTGAGTCCCATTCTCCTTACCAGTCTGTCTTCACTCCTCAGGCTTCTCATCCCAGGCTCCTTACCCAGCAAGTCCTTGTCTTTCCCCAGTCCAACTCCGTGCCCAGTCGTTCCGTATTGCCACCCGCCCCCAACCACTTCGTTGTCTTTAGTCTCCTTACCAAGTCAGTCCCAGTCCCATTTCCCCCCTTCTGGTTCTTCATCTGGATCTGTGTCTCTTCCATTGCTACCGTCCAGCTTGTTTCCTGACCCCGCTGGCTCCCAGTCACAAAGTCACTCCCTGAGCTCCTTGTCCAATCTGAGTGACACTCCTTTCCCCTCCCTTGCAAGTCTTTGTCTAACTAGGGCCAATCTTCTCCCACCTGGCCCAATCTCAGACCTCTACCCCCATCCTGCCACTTCACTGAAACTTATTGGCTCC